GGGTCCTCTTCTCTTGTGCTGTCCTTCCATACTCCCAAAGTGGTTGTGTAAAGGTGTATTTTTTTTCTGCACCTACTAGTTTTCACTCTTTTGTTGTGTGCTCTGAAGTCCATAGTTGACTCTGTGGTGGGTTTACAGAGGCAGTAAATTGCACAGGACGAGATTGTTCTTTCTCCCATGAAGCAGCTGGTGAGAGAGAACTGCATGCCTTATATATTACAGCACAAAGGATTTAAGTATTTTAAGAAGATAGTAAGGTTAGAAAATTTAACTTCACTGACATTTATAGCTTTTTTAAGATATTTGTATTTTTAAAATTTTTTAAATTATTATTAGGTTTACATTTCTGTTCAAATGCTTTTACTGCTTGAAGATTGTATCCTCAGTCAAGTGCAGCATCTTTAAGGAGAAAGCTTTGTTTGTTCTGTACTAAACAGTAAATATTTCCAGGTCTTTTAGAACTTGAAACTTAAATCCTTAAGATGAACTTAGAACTTAAATCCTCAATTTGAATATCTTCTTGATCTTGGTTTTCCTTAATGAAAAGAGGTATAAATGTAGTTTGTGAAAGTATCATATAGTAGAAATTACTGAGTGGAAACAAATATTTAGGCATATATATATATATGCATATATAAAAAATGATACATTTCTAAGGTCTCAGAATAAGTTATTTCTCATCTTATTTATACTTATGTTTGTAAAATATTTGTTTCTGAAAAGTTGAAGTCTTTAAAACTTTTCTAGTGTAGGGGGATGATAGCTTTGAAAAGATACTAGTGCCTAGCATTGCCCTATCTTTCCAGATCACCTCAGAATCTATCCCATTTCCTTTACTCTCTCCTTTCTCCCTCATCAAATCATGTGACACTGATTTTCCCAATGTTGATAAGTTTTTAAAATATAATGAATCGGAATGGTTGTATGAAATACAATGTGAAGGAAAGATAATGTGAAAAACAATGCGTACGTTATTTGGTAAGCAAATCGATATAAAATAAAAAAAATTTATTAAAAAATGAAAAGAACATTTAAGAAAATGTACAAATGACCTACTTAGGGAGTAGCCTTTTTAGAAGTATTGAGTCAACTTTATAGTATTTGCCTGTATTTTATTCTTATTCCTCTAGAAGGTGCTTAATAGGGGAAAAGAGGAAAATGAGACTTACATATGAATAAAATCTTTGGAGTGAATGATCAGAACTTAGAGTAAGTTGATCAAACGTCCATAGTTTGTCCCTCTATGGTGCTGTTTCAAAATAAGAAAGCTTGCCTTTTTTGTATGATCATGTTTTATTGAGCATGCATGTTATTAGAGAAGTTTAGAGGATAGAACATTTGCTTCTGTCCTGATCTGTTAACTATATAGTTTGCTTTTAAACTACCACAGTTACCTTCATCTGAATATTAGTTTTCTCCCTTAAGAATGTGCATTACACATGACCAGAAATAGGCCAATAAATGCTATTTTTTTGGCAAATGCATACTATATTTCTTTGATTATTAACCAGCATCGTGAGGACTTTGTAGGAGCCCTGATGGTGCAGTATTTAGCCCCTTGCTGCTAACTGAAGTTGACACATCAAACCTCTCAGCTGAAGAGGGAGAAAGATGTGGCAGTTTGCTTTCATGAAGGTTTTTACCGCATTAGGAACCCTCTGGACAGTGCTCCTCCGTCTTACAGGTCACTTTGAGTCAGATTTGGCTTATCATCGTAGGCTAGGTTTTGTGAGGGCTCTATGTCCTATACCATCTACAGAAGTGATTTTTATACCTGAAACAGTGAAACCTTCAAAAAGTCTCATAGTAGTAGAGAGACCTTCAAAAAGGTAAAATGAAAATTATCTAATGAGACCAGGAATTTCTTTGTACTTTTTTGAAGTTCTCTCTACTGAAATCACTGTTTCTGGTGTAAAAATCACTACTTTAGGTGATACAGGACGCAGAGGCCACAGCAAACCCAAACCTGTTGTGGCAATTCAGATTTTGGCCTTATTGCGTTATTTCCCATTCGATAGATCTGTGAGTGATCAGAAATTAGTGAGTTTTCTTCAGACTATATTAAGTAATTATAATAGGATATAGACTACTTATATAATGAAGAACTTTTCATAATATAGCTTATAAATACTGTAAATATTGTGCTGAGATGATGATGTTGCTATTGTTATGTGCCAGGAAGTTGGACCAGACTTATAGCTGACCCCTCAATGGGTTTTTAGAGGCTGTAAATCACACAGTAATAGATGGCCCATCTTTTGCCCTCACCAAGCAGGTGGCAATTCACACCCTGTGCCTTTAGGTTGTCAGTGCAACTCCTTACCACTTGGGCACCAGAATTCCTTCATGCTGAGATAGAGTATTTTCTATTTGTACCTTGTCCTATGTCTGTTTCTCTTCTTTGGGAGAATAGTTGTAATAGAAAGCAAATACATTGGATAAAGAAAAATTTATCTCTTAATATTGTCAACTATGTAAACAAACTGTCAGTTCCTAATAAGTTAGTGTTTCTATTTTAGCCAAGTTGACACCATTTTGACTTATTTTCCTATTGATATTGCCGTTAGTGTCAATGAGTATGAAAATAAATATTTTATTTCCTCCAAAGTTTAGTAATTACTCTTCCTTAGTTACTATTATTGCTTTTTACGTATTTGATATTTTGTGAATGATTTCGTGATTTCTAGTTTTGTTTTTGTGTGTGAAGAGTAATTTGATATATATTTTAATAACTTATATTTTAATTTACTATCATGTTTATACTGAAATCTGTTGTTATCTAATTTAGTAATATTTTTATCATAGCAGTTTAACATCTCTTTAATTTTAATTGTTATCAAGAAGAGTGACATCATGTAATTTGATCCAAATGCAGAAGGATGGATGAATGTCAAATTAATAATTTACCACCTTTGCATAATACTAAAGTAATAAATATTAGAAGGATTGATGGCAGAAAAGGTTAACAAATTTTAACAGCTTTCATTAGCTTTACATCGTCATATGTTTGTGGTGCTGACTGAAATAGGCTTTGTAGGAGATCTCAGTCTAGGGAACTAATTACTTGTGCCGATTGCCACTCTGATGAATAGACCCTCATTGTATCATTCCCCTGAAGACGAGGAGCAGCCTGTGATTCACGACTGCATCCTGGCTGATATTTGATAATAATTTTAGCAGATAAATGTAGGTAGGCAGAATGATGAAGTGCCTATCCAAGCTCCACGACTATCAAAGCCATACACATCACCATCTGCGTGTACCGCCTTTCCCCCTCTTGAACAATCACCTAAGGAGAATTTTATGCTATTAATTGAGCACAAGTGACTGTTGTCTTTTCCATGTATGTATATGGTATGGGTCTTTTCCTTTATTTTTACATTGTATCTTGGAACTGATGTTTATTTATGATTAGATAGCAAAATAATGAAGAAAGGTAGAAAAGAAAGGTTTTTTAATTTTTCTTTATAGAAAACTATTGTGCTTACATGTTTTATTTTCCATTTTTGCTATATTTTATTGCCTTCTTCCTTTTACCTAATTGGCATCAACAAAGAAAATCTTTGATCCTTTATCTATTACATTCTTAGGGAAAACTACTGGGATCCTTTGCTTTTTTTTTTTACACACCTTTTTAAATCATATATTGTTTGCTGTTTATATTATTATTAGAGGGGGTTTTTTAGTACATAATAAAGACTTATTTGCAAAAATCTATGTTGAGTCTTTAAAGATGTCACCTTTTAAGCATCAAAATAAGGGTGAATTTTACTTAAATGTTTTGGGATTCTTGGTAAAAATATTGATTTGTTAGAGCTGACAGGTATGCAATTTTATTAGCTCATGAAGTAGATTTCATTTTTTGTTAGTCCTTTGTATAGTTGTTTTGCTTATGACAAAATTTTTATTTCACTGCTGAACTTACAAATTTTCATTGTGTGTATTTGTAGTGAAGAAAAAATATTCTACAGAAGTTTTTTTCTTACTGTAACTGAAAAAAAAATCATGCTAGTATTTTCTTTATAAAATGTTTTCCAGCATGCTAGATCATGATTACCTAACAGGAGAAAAAGTTGACATTTATATATTGCCATATATACATAATTGGGCGAAATATACTAGAACTTAAATTGAGCAAGATCTTTTTTAAAAATTACATTTCTCAAAGTATGCTTTCTATATAGCAATTATTGCACATCATATAGCATGTAGTTTTTAATTAAATATAAAAACAGACTACATAAAACAGAAATCCAATCTGATTTGCCTGAAAATAGATTGCTATTTCACTCTACAGGAATGGTTTATTTAAAAACAGTAAATGGAGAAGAAATGCATTTTCTTGTGTTGTTCTAAGCCTCAGGGGCTAAATGTAATGAATATTTTAAGAGATTATTTTAATTAAATTCCTACACATCTAAACAGAGTAATATTTTATTATCACATATATAACCATGTGACTGAGATATTCATTAAAGTTAACACTTTCTGGACCAAGAATTCATGGTATGATTTACTGACCTTGTGCAAAAAGGCACAAATTAGAAAGAAAAATGAAGGGGGACAGACTTTGATTAATATAGGTAATGGTATACCATATTTATAATAGCCTTTTCCCTATTCTGGTTTATAAATGCAGCCACAGAGAAAGGTGCCCTGCTGAGGCTGAAATGAGGCTGAAATCAGAGCACATGCCACTAGAGTGTGGGGAAACTGATCACACTGTCAGCAATTCATTTCAGAATGATGTATTTAGTGCTCATTTCACCTTCCAAGAAAAAGGGAAAGGAGTTCCTTAGAGTAGAAGGTGATATTGTTATTTTCAAGGACATACCTAAGTTAAAGATTGCAAAAAACGGGGAGTGTGAGGTGGAGGGAGAATTAAGAGGAAGGGGAGGGGGGGAAAGGCCGAGCAAACAAGGAGAGCTTTATGCAGAAAATCAGTGCTACCACGCTGGTTTATAATTGCTAACATATGTGGCTTCTCTGTTTCATTGTAGTCGTCCTCGTGAGTTCTGGCGCCTTGACTACTGGGAAGATGACTTGCGGCGCCGGCGACGATTTGTGCGTAACCCTCTAGGATCGACACATCCTGAAGCGACACTAAAAACAGCCGTGGAACATGGTCAGTGTATAAACCACTACTTGCTAATAGCAGCAGGTACAGTTCTTGTAATGAAAGCATAACTTCGTTATTACAAGACACTAAAATGGCCCAACCCCATATTTCATAGTAAGTCGCCACAGAAAGAGTAGTTAAAATTTTTATAGTTTAATGTAGGGTCCTATAAACTTGTGGTGTCAGGTGTATTTATTTATCTATATGTTAAAACAAGCAACCTTTCTTAATGTACACCTTTTGTTTCAAAATAAGAGGGGGAACAGATTTCTCCTTTTAAGTGACATGTCCTGCTTTGAAAAAATAATTCTAAGAGGATTACCTTAAATTCATGAATTTCAGGAAGATGGCATTTACAAACCAAATAGGTTCTCCTTCTCTGTTATGTGTATATATTTCCTCCCCCCCTCACACACACGGTATTTTAGCATGAGATTATGAAGTGGGAGAGATGGTAATAAATGTCCACGTGCATAGACACTTTCTACACCTTGATTTGTAGATGGTTGTGATAGATGACTCTCAGAAGAAGAGAATAGACATTATTTTCATATGTTCCTATTCTGCATCATCTTGTTATTAGAGCTTAACAAAACATTTTTACTTTTTTGATATAATGTGTACCACAATGATTCACTTTTTATAGAAACTTGAAGAGTAATTTAGAAAAACTTAATTAGGTCATGGGTCAGTACTTTGGATTTGACACTTTCTTTGATCATAACATTTCATTTATTACTTTATGATTTTGAAAGCCAATTAAGATATCCTGACAAAGAAGATTAAAAGATCCTCTTCATTTAAAAGTTATTTGGATTTTACTAAATAAAAATAAGTTATTTTTTAGTAAAGTATGAAATAGTTTTAGTTTCTGAGTATTAGTTTAATATGCAGTAGTTTGTGCTTAAATTATAATATACAGTATCATTATATAGAGTAAATTTTAAACACATTTAATAGGGATTTTAAGAATTTAGATTAAAATCTGTAATACTAGGTTTGGCCTCAGTTGGGCAGTTTAACCTATTGCACTCAGCCTTAAAGAGCTATTTCTGGGAGAAAATGTCCACAATATGTCATCAGATATAACACTAAATGTGACATCAGTCCTTTAAAATAAATGACCATACAGAGAATAGTCAATAACAAAGTGATCTAAAAGCAATAATAGTCCCAGAGCCCTACATCTTCAACTACAGGAGGTGGAGAAGAAGATATAAAATGTAGAATTAATTAGGCTACTTTTGCTTTTTGATTTCATATTCTTTTTATGTGATGCTACTATACTTTCACTTTTATAATTTCTTCCCTTTTCTTTAGGTTTTCTTAATGAACTTTACGTTGAAAAAAATCAATCTTTTTGCAATTTTATGGCTTTGAGCAGAATAGGTGTTACTCTGAAGACTTAAAATCTGAAATTCCTTTTAAATTTTTTTAGATTATCACTTAACAGTGAATTTGTAGTTCTGAGGTCTGTGAATGACATTAAAAATATTTTACAAAGGATATATAGCGAAACTGTTAACTTATATGAGAGGTTTATCATTAACCAAATATAAAATTCTTATAAAATTAAAATTTTTCTTGTAAATTTAAACTACCATTAAAAATAGGTGATTCTTTTTTTTTTTCAAAAAAAGTATTAATTTTAATGAACATTTACAGAGATTTTGGATTTCCATTCATTCATTGTTGCACTTTTTTCTCAATCCCCGCCCCCCCCGCCACCAGTTTGTTCCTGTCTTTGAAAAGCAAAAGATAAACTTCTCTGTCATTTTTAATGCTGTTTGTAATGGTGTTGAATTTTTAAAATTATTAGCTTATTGTAATTAAAGGCTTTGAAAGTCCTGTTTAGAAACAAATTTTACTCTTATTAGTATAAACAATAACTGGAGGATTAATCTAATAGTAATTAATTACCAATACTTAAAGCATTTTTAAATTTAGAAAAATAAAATTAAACATTTATTGAATTTGAACATATAAAAATGTAGTATATGAGTCGCAGGCGACTCGACGGCACATAACAACAACAACAACAACAACATATTAACCTGACAATTATTAGTATTTAAAGCAAATTGTGCAAGATTGACTGCAAAAGCTTTAAAGCATGTACTTTTAAAGAAGCTAATCATATAATGTAGACAATTCTTCAGGAGCTTTACTGTTAAGACATTTCATCCATAATTATAACATTTTTTGAAAAATGATAACACACTCTAATGAATCATAGTTTGTATATTTGAGAAATTATGAAATATTGGATGATTTTAGAATACATTGCATAGATTATACAATGGTATCATTTGATGTCAGCATAGTTTATGTTAATATATTACATAAGCAAAGAGTTTAGTTTTTAAAGTTTTTATTAAATAAAGTAATTTATAGTTAAAATATTCAGTTCTAATTTTCTGCTAATTTTTAAATTTCATTTTTAAATACTTTTTGGAAACATTAGGAAAGCTAATAGAATAAACTTATGTAGAATCATGTAAGTACAATAAAAATTATTAATATACTAAAAATAGCTAAATTACAGCATCTAAGATACCATATTTCATTGTTTAATTCAGATATTGAAAATAGGTATTTACAAACATGGGCCATTTTCATATTGTTTATGAGTTCATCTCTTATTTATCGTTTATTTAATGAAGAAATATTACATGGTATAATGCAGACTTTTGGAACATCTTGTCCTATATTATTATCAAAGGAAGGCACCTAAGTAGTAGTGCAGTTGTATGTTAGTTATATATTTTGGTAGTAAGAACCATCTTTTTTATAGATTGATTTGACTTGAAGGAAAGCCTCTGGTGTAAAGGTGGCAGAGTAAATACCTGAAGAGTGATGTTCTCTGTTCAGGCGATCAATACCATCCCCATGACTCTACTTCTGGCTACCTTCTAGTTAAAAACAAATTTTTTAATTCTGACAATTTAATTGCCCTTCCCAAGTTCACATTAACTTGCTTGGGGAAAAGAGCTCTAGGTAATTTTTCAAAAAGAGACCCTCCAAAGTGGTTATTTATAAAAGTCATGTTGTAATGGGAGATTTCTTTAACTTTATAAAATTGAGTCATATTTTAAGATTAAAATGAATACTTCCTTCTTATGCTTAAATATTCTTCATGGAAATTAGCAGCAGCAAGCCTAAGTAGATATTTAATTCTTGAGAGCATTTCTTTCCATTTTATGGTTTTAAAATTTACTAAAAATCAGTTGTAATGATTCCTTACATTCTCTTAATACACAACAGACCAGTCTGTCAGTTATTTATTCTCAGTGCATTTTCGATCTGGAAGGAACCTTTGGGTAAAGTCTAGTCTAAATTCACTCTTTAGATAAGGAAACTGAGGACCAATGGCTATGCATATTCATTTTAGACAGAAGGCCAACTTATTACTAGTCAGATTCTCATTTAATTTTGCTTTACTGCCTTCTGAAATTCATTGTTAAATATAATGGCAATTTTATATTCAAATTATTGCCATATAAAAAAATGTTTTAAGTGATAGAAAGATTGGTTTTAATTCAAGTATTAAAACAGTTTAGTGATAGAATTCTATTGAATCTAAGACATTTTTATTTTTACAGACTATATATGCCAAATAGAAATATATGAAAAGGATTTAACATAGTTTGAAAGTATCTTGCAGAAAGTGGAATGATACTAGTAATTCACCTTTTTTTTTAAGGTATGACAGACGACATAAAGATTCTAAGTCATGCCATTTGCTCATAACCTTGATAATTCTAGCTATTAATATCTGCTAAATTTTCTCTCTTGTATGTAAGGAAATCTAAGATCAATAAGAGATGCACTTCTTCTCCTAATCTTCCTTTGTAATGTCACTAATCTTCCTGAATATGTTTTCTTGATGGGAAAACCTGTGAAAATATCATAAATTATGTAAAGAAAAATTCATTAGATCAGGACAAAAGTTGATACTGTGAGGAAAGTTAGTTAGGGCATGTTGATTATAAGATTTTCTTTATATATGCTGTATAGAATGTAGTTATGGTGTGTTTCATATAATGCTGTGTAGATAACTGTGCTCGTTTTACTTTGTTTTAATGAATTTTATTTTTCTATTTAAATCAAAATCAATCTCTTTCCATAAATTCTGATTCATAATGTCCCTGTAGAACAGAGTAGAACTTCCTTATAAGTTTTCTGAGTCTAAATCTTTACAAAAACATACTCTTTTTTCCCTTAGAGTGGCTGGCATGTTTGAATCACCAGTCTTTGTTAGCACCTCAACTCTTAACCCACTGTGCCTCTTGGACTCCTTGTTACTCTGTTAGCAAACTTTAAAGAAAATCCCCAAACCTAAATTTGCTAATTTTTAATGTATAACTTTTTTTATGATGTAATATACCTTAAGATTCTAGTTCACTGTCTCAGTGAAAATAGAGAATGGTTTGTATAGGTGAAATGAATACTCTTGGCTCTTTTTCTATTTCCATTCTACTTACCTATGCTGTGGCTCAGTGGCCTCTAGTGTGTTAGGAAGTATGAGGATGGCACAGAGGATGAGGTTCAGAGCTGTTGTTCATAGGGTCACTATGGGTTGTACTCAACACCACCTAACCTAACCAAGCCTCTGTTTGAAAGTAGGATGAGTGACCTCCTATGTGATTTGTTGCCTCTGAAAATCTGCTGGAGGGTCAGCAGTGGACTGATTTCAACTTGATGGCACAAAACAACAGCAGATTCTGTTGGGTAGATAAATCAACTCATTCCAGGTAGCTCTAAGCTAGCAGTAAGTACACATTCTCTTTCTGAAACCTTTCATTACTCTTGACCTCAGTGAAGCGAAAATAATCTTTCCAAGACAGCTTTTCCATGAAAATTGCAGTTCTATGATTCAATGAGGATAAATATTAAATTTTAAAAATTCGATAAAAGCAGTTGGTTTAATAATACTGTAAAAATTGAAATAGTTCCTCCCAAGGGTGTTTTGCTGTTTTTGTTGTGGTAGGTCTGCCATTATTATTAGATAAGACTCACATTCCCAGGCATTCCCACTGATCATCCAACCACCTTGTTGGGCAGATTAAGTCCAGTTATGCCTCTATAGATCTTTTTCCATTTCCACTGTTTGCTATTCATTGACTTATTTATTCTTCTTCTGAGATGTTCTTCGGTGATTTCCCTCCCTGACTTACAGCAAGCTTTCTTTTTCCATCCTTGGGATATAAATTATGTTTTGGTTATCTTCAATATAATACTTGCTTTTTATTATGTATGGAGGCCAAAATTATAGGACTCTATCACTGTGAAACAGAAGAAACACCATTGCTTATAATCTACTCAGAGACGTACAGATACTCTGCATGAGTGATTCAAGATGGTGCCAGGAAGATGCAGCACCTGACTATTATCTTGCTTTAAACATTGGGCCTTTTAAAGCCCGTTTATATTCCACACCTTCATGTTAGTAACAGTAAGAATCCTACTGATCCCGTATTTCTATCCTTCTCACAAACCTATAAAAACTCATTCTACCCTATTTATGTAAAATCCTCCATCCGATACAAATTTATTCTAAGTAGAAATAAATTTGGGGTTTTAAAAGGCCCAAAAAATTAAATAGTTACCATTTTTGTAGCAATTATTAGCCAGAAAATGCCTGAATTAAACTTAACATTGGCCTGAAGTGTATTCTGACTTCATGCAATAAAACTTTTATATTATTGTAGAATATATGCACAGAACATACCAAAATACTCTATATTTTGTACTAGCTGAGTGAGTATATGGTAAAGGTAAATGGAAGTTAAAAATATACTTTCCCCAGCATGTATAAACACGGTAATTATCTTTTATTTTATACTTGGGATAGTTTTGTTCTAGTTTTGAAAAAAGAAAAAAGAACTTCTTTAGCAGAAAGCTATTAGACCACTGAGAATTGAACCCAGCGCATGTGGTGTGTATTAGAGTACTGTTGGTAATTTTACTGCTGCTAACTTAAAATCCTCGAGGGGGAGTTAATTACAGGAAAACCATTCTAAATATCAGTAAGCTGCATATTTTCCATGACAAGAGGTTTTTCTGTTGAGGTTGAACAATTCCAGAATCGGAGCTTGTAAAAATAAGTAAATAAATTAATTGAAGGGGATGTTTGTATGCATAGTTCACCTAAAGTACTTAAAATGTTTTTTTGTAAAATTTTATTTAATTCCAGAATCAATATATTTTAATGTACATCAGCAAACTGAACATATACTATAAAATTTTAGTTGGAAGGCACAAATTAAAAGTCTATTTAAGTTATCATTTAAATAAATGTCAATATTGAGTGAGGTATTTTATATCATCCTGTATAGCCAGTGAGTATTGTCTTCTTGGTGAACGTGGTATTTTCTTTTTTTTTTGTGCATGTATGAAGAATAAAGCCCCTCAGACTGCTGGCTCCCCCCCGCCTCCCAACAAAAAAAACCGACTTCATGGTATTTCAGGACATGTATGGCAATAATCAGAGTAAATGAAGTGCAAGGTGTTGAAGTTAGTTGTTTCTGACATGTTTGGCATATGCTTATCAAATTTAGGTTTGAAAGATGAATGCTTTTTATCCTTTGCAAGTTTATTTTGATTCTGATTTAATTTTTTAAAATGCACTGTGGGAGACATAATTAGCAAGGTAATTAGTACATTTCATATCCACACGCATATAATCGTTACTTTTCCCTTTTGCTTATTTCTGTAAGCTAGTATGTTCATGGCAGTCTTCTGATCATAGAGTTGAAGAGCCAAGATTGTAGAATCATACTGCCTGGATTTATACTTTATTTCTCACTAGATATATACCTTGGGCAAGTTATTTACCCTCTCTGAGGCTGTTCATGCTTCTGAAAATTGGAAATTAATAAGGGCTTATGAAAATTAAATTAATTAAAATATGTATTATGAGCATTCTGGAACATGATGAGTTACTACTAATTACTGTTTCTTTTTGGAATAATGGATTTAGATACAGGAAATAAGGATAGTGTTCTGAAACAATTTTACATTAGGATAAATTTATTCTAGGTTAGAATAAATCTAACTGGAAATTGGTAACTGTAATTTGTTTTAGAGGAAATTTTAGAAAGGTTTTTCTATTTAATTTCTCAGTGAGCAATTTATATTTGGTAAAATTGACAGAATATTAGAAGGTTTTAGTTTGGCTAACAACAATGTTTCTGATTTCAGAGTAACGAAATACAAGGACTTGAAATATAAACAATGATGTTAGAAGTTATATTGCTAATTTTAAAAAGATACTGTTTAATTGATACTTTTTGAAAGTAAAATTTTCTTACTGTTAGGTGCTGTTGAATCTATTACAGCTCATAGCCACCTTGTGCACATGAGAATAGAAACTGCCAGATTTTCACGAGATAATTTAAAATAATCTTTTAAAAATATTTAGATAGGCATGTGTGCATGGGAAAATTAAGTATATTTCTCCTTACTTATAGTCTATGTGAAGGAGCCCTGGTTCTGCTGTGGTTAAAGGCACTTGGAAGCTAACCTACAGGTCAGCAGTTCAGGCTCAACAACTGTGGGAGAAAGATGTGTCGGTCTGCTCTCATAAAGATTTACAGCCTTTGAACCTCTATGGGGCAGTAAGACTGTTCTTTTGGGTCACTCTGAATTGAAATTGGCTCCAAGGCAGTATGTTTGGTTTGAGTATTCTAAATATAGAAAATTCTTAGAATGGCTTTCTTGTTTAATACGTTTAATAGTACCACAAGTGGTATATAGGTGGCATACCTGATGGATCCTGGTTTTTTATTGAAGAAAAAAAAAACACCACAAAATCAAATCACCAAAACAAAACCCAAACATTTTCCCTACCATATCTATTAAGCCCCAAGAATCTTTGAATTGACAATTTACAGCATAAAACATTTGCAGTCTAGCTATTTAAAATATTTTGTATGGCTAAATATTAGCCATATTACTAAACACTGATGGCTTTTTTCCTTTCTGGAGTTTGGGGCTTATGGGTACACAGAATTGCAGTGGTGCAAAAAGCCTGACAGTGTAATTTCCATATCAATAGCTGTTGCCTGGGTGGATCAGGTGCTTTACCTCTGGGAATTTCCTAGCTGGAAACCTGGAAGGAATGTTAGAAAATTCTAAACTTTTCATAATTTTTTTAAAATGAGATTAGGAATATACACATACATGCATGAACTTTGAAAAAAAATCACAATCTAGGAACTGGTATTAGCATTTAAGATTTTCTCCTGGAGGGGCAGCTCAAATCCTGCCACCTTACAACTACGTGAGGCTTGGAAGTCAGAATTTTGAGTTTCATTGTTCTTTTATCTGCCTCACAGCTCCTTTCTCTGGTCATGTTGTATGCTGTACATAGTCCCAGGAGCATCTTCTTTGCTCCCAAGATCTGATGTTCTTTCTCCCCTCCCTCTTACAGTCTTTGCTTTGTTGCCCTGCCTCAGAGTCTAGTCACTGCTGTTCTTCCAGGCTGCTGCAGTGCAAGCTGACTGAGGCCTTTTGCCCAGGAACCTCTTATCCAGGTCTTTCTGTTATGTTTGCCCCCAGGGGGTGCCTTAGCCCTTTAGTTTAAACACTTGGAGGAGGTATCTTTGAACCTTCAGTTTCTGAACTGCCTTACTCAGATATTTGTATAAGGGCCAAGAGGGTGTGGGGTGGAGAGAGGATGAAGTAAAGGGAAAGAAGCTTCTAAGAGCAGCTGTAATATAAGGTAAGCCTTCAGTGTCTGGGTTTGAATTCTCACTGGCTCCGAATCACCTTCAGCTTTGACCCATTTTTACCTTTGGATTATCCTGCCTATCTACTCTCAGCCCCTTTGAAACTGTTTTCAGTGTATTATTGCCAAGAATAAATGAGCAGTCCTCCTTTTCTTGTAGTATTAAATGACCATTGTTTTGTTTTTGTTGTTTTAAATAGGCTTACATTTCTTTTACCAAGTTATTTCCAAAAAGTGCTGGTTTTGAACCTCTTTTTACTCTAACAATGAATGAATAAATAAATGGTTCTCTGTGCAGTGCAAGGGTCATATTTAATGGAATTAGGATGCTTGTTCAGGGTAACATTAGACTAGGCATGGGGAATAGAGTTTGTCAGACTGAACATGTGTGCCATCCCAATCACTTTCTTCACCGTGGATGAGTCTCTGTGCATAAATGATTGATCACCACTACCACCTACCCGTACTTCTGCCCCCTGCCCTCTGCCAAAGTACTCTTCCCAGAGCTGATGGACAGCTTTGTTTCCTTTTCATTTCAGCTGCGGATGAAGATATCCTTGCTAAAGGAAAACAGTCCATCAAGAGTCAGGCTTTAGGAAATCAGAACTCAGAAAACGAGATCCTCCTGGAAGGTGACGATGATACTCTGTCATCCGTGGATGAGAAAGATTTAGAGAATCTCACTGGTAAATTCACTGCTTGTGCAGATAATTCACCTCGCTCTGGCCAATAAGCATCTCATTACTTACTTTTTCAGCTGTGACCGCTAGGACTACCCACCAGCCTTTCCCCACAATTACGTTATTTAAAGATTGTTTTTATTATCTCTTCATTTCTTATGTTACTTATTTTGTCATTTTGTTTTATGAATAATTTCCCCGAAAAACAAGTTTTAAAGCACCAGCAACAAAACATAATTGCTTACATATCCCACGGGATTACCAATTCTCTATAAAATAAGGGCTAGAAATGAAAAGTCTGCCAGTTGTTTTGTAAAGAAAGCTTGAAGGTAATTGTTTTCTTTGGTATGTGTCTTCAAGAACATGCTGCATGTGCCTTTACCTCTCACAAATCACTTCTGAAAATACTGTGGCTCTCTACACAATTAGTATTCTATATGTTACAGAAATTTTTATTTTCACTCTGCAGATTTTCAGTTTTACTTCTCTGTTGAGAAAAATTCTCTTGTTGGGCTGGCAGTTTTAGTCATAATTGTGTGTCCCTCCCCCTCCTAATAATTTCTGTCGATGAAAAAGTTTTTAATACTACCTTTTAATAATTTTAAGAGAAAAGTGCTTTAGGAATCTTTCATTTGGCTATTTATTCATAACCTCTGATAGCATGCAAGAATAAAACATGGTATCTTTTCTGAAGACTCTGAACCTCTCTGTAAAGTAAAATAAAATTCACTGGCACATATTGTTAAGGTATTTCAGGTGGTATTGCTAGTCTCTAGTCTTTTCCTCTACATTCTTTTGCTCATTCCCTCCACTTTTATTTTGTTTCTGCTCTTGCTACTCGTAATACATTCATACAGTAATAGAGGTGAAAGGGGAGTTTAATTATATAATCTCGACAATGGCAATAGGATTAAGAAGTAATACACACTAATAAAGTGGTGTGGGTTAGAAATGAAGTGGAAATTGTCAGGGGTCTTCTGTAGGACCTAGGCTGCCCTAGCTCCTGCAGCTGTCTGCTTACCCTGTAATTGAATGTCTGAGAGTGATTGAAAAAATGTTATTTCTTCTCAGGATTACATGCTAATGTACAGAGGGCAAAGGGAGACAGCAAAAGAACACATAACTGGTTATTTCATCCATTTATAGGGATGAGCTTTGGGAAATCATAGCTGTTCTGGAGCTATCTGCTGCCCATCTGCAAATACAATGTATTTGTACATTGGGAATAGAGGGCAAAACCTGCTCTGATCTCTGTAGAGCATCTCTCCTATTGTCCTGCTGGCACACATTAAGATTGATGTTAGATTAAGGACCATCACCCCTCTACCAATCGATGGAAATGTCAATTCAGCTGAATTTTGAAACACAGTTTTACTCATTGATTACCTGAATAGGTGCAACTTGTTTATAGGTACTATTTTAATTCAGAACTGTAAGTGCCAATCTTATCTTTTGCTGTTTTCTCCTCCTATAGGATTTTTAGGATGAGAATTAACATGGAACCTTGAATTCTTACTTTATCTCTACATTGGTCTATGTAATAAAATTATTGCTTTTGTCCTTATTTTCTATTTACATCTAATATACTGATGGTGTTCTAGCTCTAGTGAATCTATTGTTTTCGGTAGCAGTCTGATTTGTCTCTTTGATAAGCCCTGTGGAGATTTGATTATTCCAATAAAAATTCATTCTCTTGGAAACTCACCCTCCAGCTGTTTACTCCCAAAGTCCCTGAACTACACTAATATTAGATTTGTAAGCATTGAACAATATCTAACAGTAGAAATGAAAGCTTAGAAAAGTATTTTTACCAGTCTTCCATCAGGTAAAGTTATGATGGAAGAGGTTTTGTGTCAGTCAGGCACATAGTCTTTGTATCAGAATATGGTTTAACGTTTCCCACATCACCAATAAGCTAGTGATCTTTTTGCAATCATGCCTCAGCCAACTCTAAGCTAACCTTTGGCCTTGGGAGCCTATTGAGGCTTCCTTCTCCTGGATGTTGTTCCATGTTGTTTGATAGCCTGAGGCTTGTTTTCTAAATGGAATGTGGATGGACTTATTTAGACAGAGCCACCTTCTTATGGAAAGACTACCACTCAAAGCTTTGCAGAGTCTCTATAAAATAATTCTATCTAGTTTATGGTGATAATTTACTGCCTGTTACGGATTCTTGTATGAGAATCTCGACTTCTCAGAGGAATGTTAAAGTAGATTAAATATGGAAGTTGGTATTAGAACCAATCAGATAAATTGGTGCTAGAGGTGAGAACAACAACAACAAAATTAAATAGAACCTCTGTTTGAATTGATTTGATTTTTGAGAAATGTCATTCCAAGTTGGCGTGGCTTGTCTTTTTCTTTTGGCAGGTCCTGTTAGCCTGAGCACACCAGCTCAGCTTGTGGCCCCCTCTGTTGTAGTAAAGGGCACTCTTTCTGTTACCTCCTCTGAGCTCTATTTTGAGGTAGATGAAGAGGATCCAAACTTCAAGAAAATCGACCCTAAGGTGAGGAGATTAGAAGGGGGTTTCATTTTTATGGCATTTTATTTCTTATGGTGGGTTGATGGGCTACTGTTAGATGGAACTGGCATTATTAAAATCTAGAAGACTTATTTTTAATTTCTTGCTAAATTTTCCTCTACTAACATGCATAGTAGCTTTTAAAAAACAAAACAAAACCCCGATCCTTTGATTCTCTTACTATCTAGTTTGGTTATTGAAGTTCATTTAGATTCAAAACCAACTTCTACTTAAGTGAATTTGTCATTAGTTCATCCAAGGAGGATAATAAACCTCCAGGAAGCTTTTTTATAAATATATATTGGCTCAAAAGGTCCAGGGTGAATTAAGCTACAAAATAGTGTGAGAGTGAATGTGGAATTATTTTGTTTAGCCGTTATGTTTTCTAGCTATCATGCCAGTATATCACTCTCTTTGCTTTGTCTCTATGACTTACTGTTCTGTCATACACGTATTTTTAGTGTGTGTGATACCTCTGTTTCCCATTACGGAGAGTAAATTTTACAAGGCAATGCATAATTTCCTATTCTTAAATGAAAATGTAATTTCCCCTTTAAAATGTATTTCTGAGTACCTCTCAGAATCCGGCAACTTTATTTTTCACTAAGATATGTTTGTGGCTCAGCCATAAAGCCAAAATTAGGTTTGTTTCAGGAATATGCATAGTAGGATTTATTCAGAGAGGAAATAGTCTCTTTAAAAATGAGCAAATAAGGAAACCTGTAGAAAAGAGAAGTTGCTTCAAAAACTAAAAAAAAAATTATTTGACTAATAGCTAACATATACATAGGCACACACTTTCTCACTTTTTTGGTAGAAGCTTCTTTGACTTGTAATTGTTAGTTATTAAATCTTAATGTTTTAGAAGTATTTCTATGTAGCTCTGATGAAAGTGTTATCATTTTGTTAAAACTTGACAAATAATCATGCTTTATGTATGTTTCCATACTTTATTTCAATATTGCTGCATTTATTAAAGCAGGATTTGATAAACTGTATGACAGGAAAGCTGTGCTGGAACTATAGATTTTAGATTGATAATTCATCTGTTCTAATGCATAGGAAACTTCGCACTAGTTTTGGATTTACTTATATTATTTAGTAAATTTTTCTACTTTATTACATCATGTGTGAAATGTCTGACAATGTATTTTACCTTCTTAGGAAAGAAAGGTAATCAGCATAATATGTGTATCCTCATTTTTGGTGATTTGTGAGTTTAAGAGCAGCTAAAATAATTCAGAATTTTTTTTTATACTTTTGGACACATGTAGCTTAAAAGAAAAAATCTGATTTGATTTAAACATGTCTAATGAAGTGTTCCCAAATTAGAACCTATACCATTTTTTTAGATTAACATTATTTGTTCCTTTGGGTGAAGTTAAAACTTCTTGTATCTCTCTGATCTTATTTTGTATAGCATCATTATTTTATTCTCCCTGTTGCTAGTACACTGTGGGTTGCACCCATTACAACTTGCCTAACATTCCATAAGTCAAAAGTCCTGCTAATTTACTTTTTTTTTTAATAATTTCAGCCTATTACTTGCATTTTATTTTATTCTATGTAGACAGGAGTGCTTTCTTTATTATATTTTATAAATTAAAACAATTGTTTTGCTTCAATGCTTATTCCTTTTTGGTACACTAAATTAAGTCTACATTAGATTAAATAAGAAAAGAGGCTGCTGAATTTGTAAGATTTTATTTCTTTTCTACATTGTCAAGAGGGGGATTTGTACCTAATATAGATATTTTTATGAGTTAAAAAATGATACTTTTAAGACAATCTTGTTAATCTTTTCAACTGACCACTGTTAGATAATTTTCTTTATAAATATAAGCATTTGCTGATTGCTTTAAAATAGTAGGAATTAGAACATTTTCTGAAAAGAATAAATGTTTTTGTTATTCATTTTTTAAAAAGTATTCTATTTCTTCTCACCACTTATTATTATGGTAAACTTACTCTTCACTTACAGGATGAGAACCAGAAAAACAGATAAAAGTAATACAGGTTGAAAGAATAGAGTTGATTCAGAACTGATAACGTCAGAGTTTATATCACACAAGTTTTTTTTTAACAGAGTATAGGGTCATACAATGTAAGCCTGTTTTGTCTAGTGAACTAGGTTTCAGAGCCTGTTTCCCTGTTTTTGTCTCACATCCCCTACTAAAACTTCTTTTTATAATCTTTGAAACTGCTTTTTAGAACATTTTCCCTAACCTTTCATTAGAAGATTTTCTCAGTAACTTAAGAAATTGTATTAATTTCAAAGTGTATCTTTTAAATATTAAAAGGTATTTCACCTGCATATTTATCCTCATGCCTTACCATTCTTATGCTTAATGGCCTAGATAGTTGTCTCCATTCTGAAGATCAGAAAACAATTCATTTGGGATGTTCTTAATATTACTAATTATTTGATTTTTTTTAATCAGTTATATCCTTACATAAAAAAAAACCCAAAAAACAAAACCAAAAAAACACAAAAAACTTTTGTTAAAGTTGAAATCAGTACAGTGGGTTGTTACCTCAGCTGTTACCTCAGCAGAGCAGTCACAAATGGAAGACACTTACTTTCCTTATTAGAAGTTCTTGAAGCAGCAGTTTTTCTTTGGTCATATAAATGTTTGTTTGAATTGCAGATAAGTAGTTTTAGAATAATTAAAATTTTATAAACATGGTAATAAGTGTGGCAATTTATAATGAGCCATTTAAACTTGAAATAATTAAAAATCTGTGGTCCTATTACCATTTATGAGTGGTAGAAATATTTTACAGTAACTGTTTCATTATTTTATTGGTGTGGTTATCATAATTCAATTTTTATCACTGAAAGAGTAACACAAATAGACTATTTTAAATACTATATTTTAATAATGCGAATATATTTTACAATATTATAAATTCACATATATAATATTTCATTTTTCCTAAGTATTTTGCAAGCAAAATCTATGGTGAAACCTACAAAATGAACTATATTAGTGAATTTTCTAGAGTTTAAATAGAAGCTTCTCACACTTAATTTCTCAAATTCAACATCTCTTCACTGCAAATTCTAATCCTGTGAGCTCACCTGCCTCTACATAAGAACAATCCACAAAACAGGCAGTGTAAAGTTAAAGTAATATTTTTATTACTGTTTCAACAACACTGGTTAAGGAGAGGGTAGAGGTGCAATAGAGGGAAGGGACAGTTTGACATTGGCACTGAGATACATTTAACATCAGTAAAACTGTTTTTAAAAGAGAAAATTTACATATAGTTAAATAATTTTTTTTTTTCACTTGGTGACAACATTCAGGCAACCAAAAACGAAATCAAAGTAGAGAGGGGAAAAAAAGACAGAGACGGAAGAAGAGAGAGAGAGAGAATGAACAAAGAGGGAAAACTACTATACATTGATTTGAAAATGTACCTTGGGTTTCATTTTGAGGTGGTAAAGCCGATTGCTTCTTTTGTGTGACCTTTTAAATTCACATTGTTCGGAAGAAAACGATTACTTTTGTGCAAGAACGTGATAGGCATTTGTTCTTTGCCCTCCTTTTTTCTCAGCTTGTTAATTAACGAAGCTCTTCTTCCTGGTTCGCATTTCTTTCGGGTGGTTTGCAGAAAAGTTATGTCCAGAGTTTTGGCTGTTTTCTCTTTTGAGTTGTGTGTATGGAGAGGGCGCCTTGTGGTGTGTCGCTTTTCAAGCAGCTCCCAGCACCCTATAGCTTGTCCAGGCTTTTGGGATTGGTGAGGATCTCTCTGGCCAACCTCCAGGTCTGCTTGGCAGCGCTCTCCAGGGCCGAGTGGGGCTTGCCCTGGAAGAGGTCGAGGTTGGGCAGAAAGTAGTGCGGGCAGCGGCGGCACTGCAGGCAGGAGATGAGCTGCAGCAGGATGCCGTTGAGTCGGTCGCCCAGGCATGCCTCGTCCCAGTCCGTTTCTCGCGGGTGTTTCTCGCACTCGTACAGCAGCAGGGTCTTCATGTGGTAGTTGTTGAGCGGCTGGCCAGGCAGCTCCAGGTGTCGATCCCTCAGCGTCTTCAACACCGAGAGACACTTGTTTCGGCAGCCACCCATCAGCAGGCGGTTTTCCGCCTCCCCAAACTGGAGCACCCAGGCGTCGCTCTCTGCAGAACTCTGCTTGCCTGTGAGGGAGTAGCACTCCTTCGAGAGCAAGTTGAACCCTTCGGCCTTGACCTCAGCCACCCGATTGGGGCCAGGCCAGGGGATGTGGGGCATAGGCCACTGCGCCGCGCTGCGAGGCCAGATCCCGGTGCACTTGAACGCCGGCGTGATCTGTACCACATAGCGCTCCCGGATGCGTAACTTGACCTCGCTGGTATCAGCGATCATCTTGACCACATCCCGGTAGCTGCACTTGTCCACGGCCTGGGCCACCAGCGTCTGGAAACGTGAGCGAATTTTGCGCGCCGAGAGGTATCCGGATGCGGTGATGAACTCGACCCACAGGGACATGCTCCGCTTCCGCCCATCGCTCAGCTTGAGCACGGCGCAGCCAGGCAGCGAGCCATCGTCCACGAAGTTGAAGACGCCCATCTGGTTGAGGTAGAGCACCACTTCAAATTCCGTGGGCGAGATGACCTCCAGCCCTTCGTAGCGGGCGTCGATCTCGCTCAGGGAGCTGATGAAGCGAGGCTCCTGCACCTCCACTTCCTTGAGCACGTCGGAGACGACCTTACAGACTTCTCGGATGGTCTTGGCAATGGCTGCCTTGCGCGCTTGGCAGCGCTCGGTGTAGTATTTATTGAGCTGGTAAACCAGCTTGGCCTGAGCGGCGATCATGTTTGGGCACAGGTCCGGGCTGTACACCGGCGTCTCACAATACGTTGAGGGATCCAAGGCTCACGCGCTGGTGGTGGCCCTGTGGCTTGCAGAATAGGTAGTGAGCTCACGCTATGCCCCACTTTCACTCTTGCTTTCCACCTGGGTCCACCGGCAGAAGCTATTGCAGGCACAGTCCTTTGAAAGCGTTTTCCCCTCCTCCAGAAAATAAGGAGCTAGAGAGGAAAAAAAACAACAACCCCCAAACAAACAAACACAAAGATCTTTAAAAAAGAATATCAGCTGGGGCTTTTTGTTTTCTCTTGATATGCAAAATGAGGATGATGATGTGCTACTGAGGAAGGATAAAAATGGAAAAGGAAAAACAAGGGGGACGAGAAATCAGATGAGCAGAAAATTGGGCTGAGATTCCTGCATCTGGTTGAAAAGATTGCCCAGAAATCGAGAACTGAGGTCTTTGAAGTGCCAAAGTAAATTTTAAAACCGCCAAGACTCAGTGGCTCATTCTTAAATTTGTCTCCCTCACTGGCTTGACGACTTCACTCTTGTGTAGGTGAGTGCCTTCTTCCTTACCCTCCTCAAAAGAAAGGTGAAGGATGTAATTAATGTCCCAAAAGCATCTAAGTGCAACTCAGTCCTTGGCACATTCAGCTAGATCCGGGGTTTGCAGACGCCTCAAGCTTGCTGGTCTCCTGTCTTGTAGGGGTGGGTCTTGTTGTCCTGTTGTCTCAGTTTTCCTTCTGGAGGCGTTGTCTGCACTGGGTTTGTTTGTAGAGGGCTCTTTTCTTTCTCTAGGTGCAAAACTCTGGAAGTTGTTTGATATTCATTTCTGCTTCGTAATTTATAATTTTAGCCCTTACAAAACCTACTTTAGTGTGACGAAGACGTTGCTTGCGTTGCATCTGGGTTGTAATAGGAAGGATTCAGGGTTTTCTTCTCCCTGTTTAGGTTACTGGTACAGATCCCGCTCTCCGATGTCTTTCCTCTTCCCCTGCAATGTCTCTCCCTCTTTTCAGTCGGTCTCTCTTTCCTTTTCTCTCTCCCTCCTTTTCTCTCTCACTCACTCTCTCTCTCTGTCCTGCTGTTTCCTGGAGTTATTTAGTTTATGAATGGTCCCAGGGCCATCATGAGGGAGGTGGAGCTTCAGTCCTACAATCGCTATCCGAGCTGTCAGTGCTTTAGCCAATCCCAGAGAGAAGACAGACACGCTTGGCGGATGGTAGCAGTCACCGCTGCACTTGATAAAGGAAAGGGGTAAAGAGACAAGTAAGAATATAGGCGGAGAGAGTAAAAGCCAAATGCTCGCACACACTTCACGGCCTCCTGTTCTTTATTCTTTGCTTTTATCAATTGCAAGGAAGGAAAAGAGAAAGCCTGTATAGATGAGACTGTCTAGGAAATTACTGGAGTAACCAGAGAGAGTAGCAGTGGTTCAGAAAGGTTCATTTTTTTGTAAGCTGTCAACATTGCAAGGAAGAAGTGCAGAGTAACAAACAATTAAATTGACTTGAAGGCAATGAGAGAAGAAAAATCTTTGAAAAAACCTTAAGTTTCTCTTTCTGTGAATGGTTCCCTCTCCTTTCCATTGTTGCTCTGAGCCTGAGTGATTGCTATATATGTGTACTAGTGGGGGTGGAGTGGGTATAAAATGAGAGTTTATAAAGATAAATCTCCTTTCAGTAATTTTTATCAAAATTACTTATCAGCTCTTCAGAAAAGTAGCAAGGCAAAGGCAGCCTAAGTGCCTTCTTTGATTAATTATTTCAAAATCAAGATTCAGAGAGATTGAATGCCATTGTTTTACTTTTGCCAAGATACACTTTTTAAATGAAGCAATTAAATTTGTTGAATTTAAGAAATAAATAGCAAACATGTTAAACTTGGGTTAAAGTTTTCATAAAAAAGTTACTATTTTAAATCTGATTCTTAGTTTTTCTGTAGTACTGTTTCACTTGTGAATTTTATTTTTATAGTTGATTCTTCTTTTAAAAGACTTTACTGGAGCAAAAATCTATAATTACCTGTTATTGATCACACAGAGAGCTTCCCTCCCTTGGCATTTCGGTGAAACTCTTGCATGTACATTTAGTGTTTGAATTATTTTTACACACTGTACCCATTGTAACTTTTCGGTCAGATATTTTAATATTGAGGGTTTATATATGAACTCTTTCTGGATTCTGAATCTTTTTAAAAGAAATATTGGAGAATAGGATTAATTTTAGTTTTATTTTAGGGATTATCTGCCAGTTTTGGATTATATGATAGGAATGAGAATCTGTGAAGCCTTTTGAGCAGAGGCTTAGTTATGCAGAATCCCAGAGCGCATCTTTGGAGAGAGATGAGATGGAAGGGTTGGCTTGCCTTCAGAAGACCAGACCAGAAGAGTCCCAAATCAGTTGGTATAGAAAGTTAATTTTGTCTTCATTTACAGTCACTTGGGACTCTTGTTCTTTTGTTTGAGCTTACTCCCCTCCTCCCTTATATGTGTGACCTGGATCACTTGTGTCTCTTTGTGGCCGCTAAGATAATTTTCTAAGAACTAAATGTCTTTAAAATATTTTTAATCAAGTCAAATTTATTATTTAACATCTATATTCTTTGGCAAGGAGTTGAGAAGAGCAGTTGAAAGTAAGTTTACACCGAATTCTGCGGCTCAGCTCTTAAGGGAACTTCTCCGAAATGGCAGGCACTTGGGTGACGCAGTCTCCTGCCTTCTTGCTGGTAGAAGCCTGTGTCCTGAATACATTCTCGACTGCAGGATCCAGAGGAGTTGCGGAGTCCCTGAGGTTTGCGCACTTGGGAAGCGCGGTAACCCAGCGATCACACCTTGGCTCTGGGAAGTATCACTGGGCAGGAGGGGCACTTTGTTGCAGGAAGTTGTCGGTCTCTCTAGGAGAAGGTCTGAGACAATCCTTCCGCAGTTTCTGCCTCCAGCAGAACTGGGCGGAGACTGATGGCGGGCCCTGAGGGTGCGAAGCTTTTCCCTTCCCTAGTATAGGCTGCTTCTGTGTTGCCTCTGGCGGGTTTGCTGCTAAGGCCTCAGCTGTAGAAGGTACCCGCTCAAGATCCTCATGGGAATGAGCATTTGCAAACATAGTGAAGGCTAGTTTCCATTCTCAGAGCTCCTGTGGGGTACCGAGGACCCCGGGTTCCTTGAAGGAACCTGGATTTCCTGTGCCCGCACCCTCCCTTCTCAGTGTGATCGACCCAGGCCACCGGGATCTTCATACCATCTCTTTCAGGATGCCCACTCCTCTTGAGATACAGGCTTTTTTAAACACAACCAAGTTCTGTCTCAGCATCCTTATCTTCCTGTTTCTCTACTTTTCCATACAGAGGGAGGGATGATAAAACAAATGTGTTTATTTAAAAACAATTCATTACCAATTTACCTTGTCTAAGGTAAAAGCTCTAATAAATAATAAATCAGTTAAACAAAAGCTACTTTTATTTATTGCCACGGTACTAATTAGAAACATCATTAGAATCATAAACTTAAACACTTCCAGCAAATAGTGCTGCCTCTTACTACTTCTCCCTAAACTCCCTACTCCCTCCTTGCCAGTGCTCTAAGAGCAGCTTCACTGTGTGTTTGAGGATCCACTTTTCCTCTGGTTGAATAATTGAAGGGGGAAACGGTATCTGAGGAGGCTGTAATTGAAGAGCCCCTGTCACCTCTGCTTTTATGTATGTTAGTGTAGAAGTCCATCAGCAGCTCCTTGATGGTGTATTAAAACGAAGTGGCAGCCCCTTCTGCAGGAGATACCATATTCTATTAAAGGAGACCAAGTGAGAGTCAGAAACTCTAGAGGCTAAAAGCCACTTGAAGTCTTCAGACCGATTGATCTGTATTCTCTTGTTATAATCTGTCTCATCATACTTGAGTTAATGAGGCAAAGGAGGGGGAGCGAAATCTGATGGTCCTTGACAAATTCATTAGGGAGGCTGCAGGACATTTTATTTGACTGTTAAACATCTTGTTTGTTTGGTTTAGGCAGTGCCAACATCAGCATGCTTCTTCCCAGAGCTATAGTGTTGGGCTAGCTACAGTGCATTCCTGAGAAGGAAAGGGAGACATTCAGAGTGTGATTCCACTTTGTATTTTGGTTTGTGCATAGTCATAACTTTCAGACTTTCTATCAGCTTCACCTTCACTGTTAACTGCTTTAGCAACATTTTTGAGAATGTAAATGATAATACTTAATTGAGCTTGCTTTTGCCTAGTTTAAACTAATACATGTATTTTAAAAACTTTAGTCTGAAAATCCTCAACTTTTAAAAAAATTCAAATTGCAGCTATAATTTTATTATTATTTACTAATTTTGTGTCACTGGATAACATTTGTGACAGTTGAAAGTCTAGAAAGTAGACAGTTTACAAATAATATCCTATTGTTGTTGGATAATGATTAAATATACTTGTTATAATTTGGGCTACATCGCTTAGTGAAACATTTATAAGCACAGAAACTTATATTTTTAAAACTGACTAACTAAATATTCCCATAAGGAACTGGCATATTTTAATTTCAGGGCTCTTTCTTACTGAGTGGTCTATAAATATTGCACAAAAATGGTGATGGGCTGAAGAATACATTTTAAAAAACGGAAAATACTTTTAGTAATTGAAGAATAATAGACAATTAAACCAAATACTAAGCTTATAATTTATTCTAAGATAATACTTCATTTTCTAAAATGCTCACGAAAATAAATAAATAATTGCATAGAGAATTCGGTTATATTTTCCCTCAGCAATTGATTTTAAACAGTCTCAGCTTAAGTGCCTTGAGAAAGAACCCTGTCTTCCATTTATAGGAAAATATTAGGGGAGAAAAAAAGAGAGACGACTGCCCCTTGCCTGTCATTTTTATACATTCCTGCACTACTGATGAAACTGGAACTGCTGCAGGGAATGTATGGATTTGAAAAGAAATGATTCAGTAGTTCATGTTGTGTTTCTCAGAAGCAAGACCAAACTAATGGCTGAAGTCAGTGCTTCTGTGCATCTGACAGTTATAATCCTGTTTACATTTCCAGAGAATACAGAGTCCTTAAATGGTTTTATTTTTTGCTGATCTTACTTTAGAATTGTGTTTATGGAGTTGACATGGTACATCTTTCTTTTTTATAAAATCACTGAGAATTATCTGCAGAAATAG